AAAATTTCTTTTGAAGCAAGTTTTCATCTTTAATTTTACGGGAAATTACAGTCATTTCTGAGGTAATGTCAAATTACAAAAACTCCATATTATTTGGGTAAATTACAACCACCCTCCTTAATTATCTATTGTTAAATATACCAACTGAATAATGAGTTTTTTCGTAAAATAATTCATAGTTAATGGGTGATTGTAATTACCCAAACAATAGAGTATTTTTTCGTAATTTAATCTTACCCAGTAGGTGGTCGGTTAGATATTCAACAAAAACACATGCCCACAAAATCAAAGTTAATTGGTTTACTTTTCAATGAGAACACAAAAGTCATTTGAATCATATGACTAACCAAATTTTTACACGTGACATAGCATTTGAAATTATAGTCCAAATGTTAATAAATAAAGAAACAATAGACTTTTACTTGGCCTAATTACAACAATAATTCATTAATATTGGTAGGGCTATATATAATATATGAGTTGGACAAAACTATTGCTAGTCATTCAACAATATGCTTTGAATTTCTTTGTGGGGTTGTAATCATTAAATATAGGGTAAATTACAAACACCCCCTAAGGTATGGTCAAATTACAAAAACACCCCTCTTGTTTGGATAATTACAACCACCCCCTCAACTCCTCAAATTTAGTGAAATCTTCGAGATTATATGGAATATTATCACTTTTGTACCCGTTTTATCCCATTAAAAATCTACATTATGAAGCAAGATGATCATAATATGTGATTTTTAGCTTGTATATATCAGTTTGTGGTGCATCGGAAACTGTATTTATACATAAAACGAGTACAAACTAGAGCACATTCCACATAATCTAGATGATTATGTTGAATTTGGCACCATAAGGGTGGAGGTGTAAGAAAAAATTATAGTTTAGGGTCGTAGATGTAATTATCTAAACAAGAGGGGGATTTTTGTAGTTTGACCATACCTCGGGGGGGTGTTTGTAATTTACCCTTAAATATAATTGCCTTTCACATCTTTGTTCCTTGGATTCTCCACAAAAGGCCGTAATCATATGGCAACACTTTCATGATAAAGTGTGATGTAGGTGATGTAATTATCTCACAGTCAAATAGTATTGGTTCTATCTACTTCATGTGACGTGTGAATCCGAATTCGAGGTCCAATTGATTGGTCTGTGACGTACGGTGAAATAGTTCATGCGAAATGCGTGGAAGTCAACAAAACAAGAGCCTGCACCAAAACAAAGAGCCGTGTAACGCGGGACCGTGTGTTCAACTGTTCCACTTTGGGTATCCAAAGATATTTGCAAAGGCATGTGTTATTGGATAGACTTTTTTAATATAATCTTATAATTATTTCAACAAAAAAAATTATATCGGTCGAAATTGTTATTAAAGGAACATATTTGAAGTAGAAATGCAATATTATCATCTCATACCTATGCTGCAAGGACACGGATACGTGTACACGGCGATACGCGGATACGAACACGGTGATACGACATTTTCAAAAAATTAGGATACGGACATATGGGGATATGTGTAAACATAAAAATTGTAGGGGTATATTTATAAATTAGAAAAATATATGGGTACATTTATATACTGTAAAAAATATCTATAAGTGGCCAAATCGCATAAGAGAATCGCTCGCCCTTGCTGCTCGTATTCTTGGTTGTCGTCGTTGCTAGAGTTTTGGACTTTTGGGAGGACTCTCAAAGAAAACAGAGAAAATGTGTATTACAAAGAAAAGAAAATGCGTATTTTTTTTATTAGGGCTCTCTCTTAGTACATAAGAGCCGTTCCCAACTTTTTTAAAATTGCGGACCCTGCCCGATACGGGTGTCCTACTTAAGTGAAATTACGACACGGCCCGATACGGTTGTCCGAGCCGTATCCGGGCGTGTCCGAGTGTCCAGGTGTCAGATACGGGGACTCTTCACCGGGGGCGAGTCCGCCCCTATGGGACGGTGGACTCAAGTCCACCCTTAAATTACAAAAGTTTCCTTATATTATACATATATATTTATTAATTAGCCCACCCAAAATCCAAATTAATGCAAAAAAAAAGTCCTTTTTTTCCCCTTCATTTTTCCCCTATTTTCTGATTTTGTCACAAAAAAGTTCTAAATTTTTTTCGGAGGCGCTGCCTCTGTATCCTAAAAATTTAAGCTCACCCTGTATCACATTCCTAGACTCGCCACTGCTCTTCACCTTCTAGAAGTGTCCGTGCATTATAATCTCATACTATTAAATAAACTAGCATTTTTTCCACGTGCGATGCACGTAATATTATTTCAAAAGTGAAAAAATTAATCAATTTAATATATAATAAGAAAATATAGTATACTAACATAGTAAAATTTAATAATATTGTAGTATTATTCATATTACATATAACATTACTTTTTTTAAATCTGATATATTAAGATTTATAATCCAAATATATAGATTAAGATTTAACGAATCGAATTTCTCTCTTTATCTCTTAAGATTTGAGATATATTGATGAAAAATAGGACATTGATAATTGTTGAAAATTATAATTAAAAAATTAGTTGACAAAAACTATTAAAAATAAATAGTTACAAAACATTAGATAGGATTTTTCGAGATTTAGTTTCAATTTTGATAATTGTTAAAAATTATAGTTAAAAATTAGTAGAGAAAAAATATTAAAAATATTTAATTATAGATACATTATTAGGGTTTTTTTAGGGTTGTCCATCATTTCTTTATTTTATATATAAGATTTAAAATGAAATTAAAATTAAAATTAAAATTTAAGCGGTTCGTGTCGTATTACTTGAACCAACCAACACAAAAAACAATGGTTTGAGCATAAATACAAGAAACAATTGAACTTGATTCGTGTAATTCATACAAACAACTGTTTTTATTTAATTAAACTTGACTCGTTTGTTAAATAAGTACCTATTCCATACAGGGGCGTGCTAAATTCCACACTAAAATTTACTAAATCCCACGCATAAATTAAAAAAAAAAAAAAAATCTCTCTCTACCTTCTCTATGATGATTTATCCCAGTTACTCAAAATTCATTAATTTTTCATGTGAATAATCATAAAAAGGGAGTTCAATTTTATTTAGTATTTATTTAAATTCATATCGATTCGAATTTTTTCCTCAAATTCCAACTTTATTTTCATGTGAACACATGAAGATTTTTCTCAAATTCGAACTTGAAATGCTAGAGACGTTTTTAGTGTTTCACTTTGTGAAAAAAGTCAGCGAAAAAAAAGAAGGGTGTGGAAGAAAAGAGAAGATTTTAGAAAGATAAATATTTTCAATTGTGTGCATAATTTGATAAAATTAATGTGGGATTTAGCATTTCAGTTCCATATAATATAATGGGATATCCAATATCTAAGAATCAAAATCAAAATCGTATCAAAATCATGAGATATAGTAAGTTTGTTACCAAAACATTTGCAAACCCTAATAATTCTAGTAATAATGAATTTAAAAGGATTGAGACCATGAATAGATATATCTAATCGGATTTTTTTGTATTCCCTATTCCACCCTTGTAAATAATTGCACTTGCCAACTCCTTGTTTACCATTAAATTCCACGTCTAAAACCTGTCTATAATAGTCAACCCTTCAATAACTTAATTGTTCACACGTTTATCTATTTTGTTATTTTTAAATTCAATTTAATTTGTGGTACACCAATAAAAAAAAAATCGATCATGGTTAATCATATATATGGTTGGGTTTATTTTTATGGATGACATAAATAAAAAAATCGCATATCTACATAAATAATTATCCATAAAATACATATATGTAGAGTGTGTGTTATTATGTGTAAATCTATAGCTTAGAATTACATATGTATTTTACCAGGTGTAGGTTTTACAAAGTCATGACAAATTCTAAATAGATCAAACACTCCCATATAGCTAACGAGTCGAATTTTTTGTCAATTAATTATTTTACGTTTTTTCCAATGTTACAAAATAAAATTTTATGTTTTGAATAAAATAGGGTACAAAACAAAATACATGTCTACCAACCAATTGAAAAGGGTTGTGTACTACTTCCTCCATTCCTTAATAATAGTCGTTTTTCTAATTTGCATAAATCTTAAAAACTCAATAAATATGTATTGATTTTAGGAAAATAGATATTGTTAGACCAAAATACCGTTATTTATTAATTAATGCAGAAAGAGTGTTGAAAAGTTATTTAATAAGGGCATAATTGAAAAAATATGTAATTAATGTAGTGTATGAATTCTAAAGTGACAGATAATATGAAACCAAACAAGTTCTTAAAAATAACAGATATTGTGGAGCAAATGGAGTTATGTAAAGGAAAAAAAAAAGGGACTTGCTATTTACGGTTTGAAAATTGCTATTTGCGGTTTATAACAAAAAACACTTTATCTCTCTAAAACCGCAAAACTTCCCAAAAAAATCCAAAATCCCCCAAAACGCATAAAAGCCGAACTTGGGCGCCCATTCATGCAGTGCACGCCCAAGTTGGGCGTGCAAGCTGCATTTGGGCGCCCGACTTGGGCGTCTAGTCCAATTTTTTTTTTTTTTTTAATTGAACGCCCTGGAACGGGTGTTCGTACACGCCTTGGGCGCCCATCTTGGGCGTTCCAACATGTTTTTGCGAAAAAAAAAACCCTACAAATCGATTTGTAGGGCTTTTTAACATGAAATTGGTTCCGTAATCGACCTACCCAATGCATATTACACATAAAATAGTCGAAATTACATCAAACAATCGAAGCCCAACCCTTCTTCAAGTTTGATTTTGAATTTTCGATTTTTTTTTTTTTTTTTTGCTATTTGTAGTTTGGGGGGTTTTTGGATTTTTTTTGGAAAGTTTTGGGGTCTTAGAGAGATAAAGTGTTTTTTGTTATAAAGCACAAATAACAATTTTCTAACAGTAAATAGCATTTCATACAAAAAAAAAAGATGAATTTGTTAACAAATTGGAAACAAAGAGGGTGGTGGGTACAAACAAACAAAGAAGAATTGTTAGAATAATCCACAGCAAGCGCATTGCACCTTACCGCAGAGAATAAAACCCGGTCAGTCAGCCATGCAATAGAAAAGTCTGGGACTCGTGATAACATGCGCACATGGTGCACTGTATTTCTCGCTATCGTTTTATCGCCCTGTCTCACACTGCCCTTCTCTCTCCCTCCCTCTCTCTTTCTCTCTCTAAAAGTCTTCCAATTTTCTCTCTCTAAACTGCCATTACTGAGTTTGATCCTCTTTTGTCCTTCAAACACTAACAGTGATTTTTTTTCCCAGAGATTATGGATAGTCACGGTCACAAAACGGCCGCCACTTCAACAGGTATTTTTCAATTTTCTTCTTCCTTTTTTTTTATTTTTATTTTTATTTTTTATTTTAAAAGAAAATGTAGTTGCTTATGCTTCCTTGGATTCAATCTGCTGTAGTTTCTTCATTTTTTTCTATTTGTTTTGTCAAGATTTCATTTGGGTTTTTCCCCCTTTTTTCGTTGCTTATCAAAATTTGTTGCCATTCAGTAATATTATCAAACACATAATAGGCACAAAACTATCGCACATTGATAACTAACGATTTCTATGTGGACGAAGTCTTGCCATTTTCTTACACCAATTTTGAATATTCTGTCTCTATACGTGTAATCTAATGATTTGTATGTGAAAATACTTTTGTGCATTATTGTTTTTAATTTACTAAAATAAAACCCTTTTCATTTAATTGATCAATTTCTCCTTCTTTTTATGCAATTGTGCAATTCAATTTTTTTTTTTTTTTTTTTTTTTTTTGTGCATTATTGTTTTAAATTTACTAGAATAAAACCCTTTTCATTTAATTGATCAATTTCTCCTTCTTTTTATGTAATTGTGCAATTCACAATTTTTTTTATTTTATTTTTGGATTGGATTGATTCTTGAAGGGCACGAGGTGCACATATGCAGTAGATGTAAATGGCCATTTCCAAACCCACACCCAAGTGCTAAACACAGAAGAGCACACAAAAGGGTTTGTGGTACAGTTGAAGGCTATAAATTAATTCATTCTGAAGAAGAACACGATCGCCATCTGTCTATTTCCGACGACGAACATGCCTCCGACAGCGAAAACCATACCCCTAGTGAGAAGAACAGTCCTTTCATATTTGACTTAATATAAAATTTGCGCATTTTTTCCCGACTTAACTTTCGATGGAATTTTTCGTTTAATGAAGGTCCTAATCTTGTGAAGAAAAAAGCCGAGGATTTTGCTAGTGGTGAAGGAGCAGGTGCAAAGTCGAATAGATCAGAAGATGATGTTTTTTCTGATGCAGTTACCGAGTTTTCGGATAGTGGAATTAGTCCAAGTTTGGTGGAGCGGTTGGTAATGGAAGAAAATCCTTTGGAGGATGATGATCCTATCAAAACTGCCGGTACGTATTTAAAGGGTTATATAATTAACACGTTCGAAAGTAAAAATTCAGTTTTCAGCCTTTTGTTTTGTCCTTTTTTTTGTATAATATTGTTTGCTTGAAAATATGGTCGGTGATACAAAGAAACGGAAATGGATATTATGTACATGAATACATGCCTAAATGCCTATGTTTAAGTGAAGATGCAAATCTGATTGATGAAAATAATATGGAAGTCGATTCTTTCGTTTCCTTTTTTTAATCAGAATTTGGTGTGAGTATATCTTTTATGTGCCAAGTATATGTATATCTTCATCTTTTATCGAACCGTGTGCGAAGAGAAGCCATTTGTTTCGTTGTGTTTGTATCTAAATTAAGCATAGCATTGTGATAGTAAAGCTCGTTGGTTCAGAAAGTTGTTGTTCTACTGAATTCAATTACATCTTGTCTGTAAGAGGCCGTTGTCTTAAACAAAATTCTTTCGTTAGTGCTTTTCGTTTTCTGCTTTTATTAGTAGATTTTTTTTTTTAATTTTGTGATACCTATTCTTATTTTTTTTCTTCTTGTGATTCTTTATAACGGATGTATTTAAACAGCTTATTTGACGCGTCTTATATGTTTATTTAAATCCCTTGAATCTTCAGAGAAACCAGATATAACTGAACAAGTCAATGATCCGACGAGGATTGTGGAAATGAATTTACAGCCCAACATTATCAAATCTGACGTCTCGAGGGAAATAGCTGTAGAAAGTCAAAGTTTAAATGAATCCGACATTCAAAGGGAAGAAGATAAGTTGGCTTCGATAACTTTGGACTCTGAAAAAGGTGAAGTTGTTTCAGTTTCAGAACCTGCATTTACAGTCCAACACGAAAGTTTACATGCTTCTGTAACGGCAAAACGTATTCCCACCGAAACTGTTTGTGAAAATGCTCCGGTGGAGGTAAAAGAAGTTTCTGTCGACGAAGATAAAACTACAATTGAATTCAAGAAAGATGTTGATCATGTCGAAGAAAAGCCTAACAGTGTGATTCTGGAAACTGTGAATGAAAATGGTGAAGCAGGAGGTTCAGCTGTGGTTAGTGATGCGAAAATTTTACAAGAATTGTCGAAAACTGAATCGAGTGATAATGTTCTTGAGAAACCCGTTGAAGTGCTCGTGCAGTCACAAGTAATAGTAGAAGGGCCTAAGAATATTCTCGTGACAGAATTAAAGGAGGATAATAATACTGAGGTTGTAATAGTATCAGAGAAAACTCTCGACCAGCCAATCCTAAAAGAAGAAGCTCTACCCGAGAAGCAATGTTCGAACGAAACTTCACTTGATGTTGAGGAGAGTTTCAACAAATTAAATGTTGAAAATGTTGATTACAAGAACTTGCAAGATAAAGTCGATGAAGTCGAAAGATCTGATAGTCTTGAAGGCAACTGTGGTTCAGTTTCAGGTAAGACTATTTATTTATCAAGATCTCAATTATTTCAAGATTTTATTAAGTATTTATTTACTCTATTTATTTATTATTAATTCTTTTTTTTTTCTTATGAACTGAGCAGCGCTATCATTTCAATCTAATACAGGTGTCGCTGAAACAAACTCTCCATCGCCAGATACATTAATAATAGAAACCAACTCCGAAAAGCAGAAAATCGAGGTTGAAACATTTGAGCCCCCTTCATTTATGACTCTGGTACAATCCGGCAATCAAGATAAGGCTGATGAGAAAGAAGGATGGTTCCCTTCTCTAACAAACGTGTCGAAAGAATCTGAAGGCAGAAAGAAAAATGAGGAAATAATAGCCAAAGTAACAAACTCGAGCCCAATGAAGCAGCGTCATGGTTCTCTCAAAACTCTACTCGATGAAGTCAACTCGCCAAACAAAAAACAAGTTCCTGATTTTGATGACGATGCTAATCAGAAAAACGGGACTGAAAAACCAAACAAAGAAGAAGTTAATGGCAACAATAAACACGTGGAGGAATGGGATTCGCCTGCAAAATACCCTATCGAGATCAAGAAAGAGAAGAAAACGAAGAAGGGGAAGCCGTTTTGGGTTCCGTTTATGTGCTGCTCTTCTGCAGCAAGTAGGGAGGTTTAATGGGATTCGTCTGCACTGTCTTTGGTGAAAGTTTCGAGTGACGTTTATTCGTTTGCGTGCGTTGTTAATTTTTGTGTGGTATATAAAATGTTTATTAATGGGTGGGATTCATTCATTTTCTTTTCAGCTTACATTTTGCTGTGCGTTTTCATTAATAAGATGTATATGTTGAACAAGATATATATGATTCATGTATGGATGGACGAACTGCTTAATTTTTCTTGTACAAGGTTTGCTTATGAATTCATGTGATGAGATAATAATGCTGTCTCTTAATTTGTTTTTCTTTGATATAAAAAAAAAAACATAAAAAATTGATCAAAAATAATTTCAGAAATTAATGTTATATATTTTTCTAAAAACTTGTAACCTCTACAATAACTTATTTAAAAAAAATATATATAATCATTTTAGAAAAATCAAACAAATTCTAGAGCTGATAAAGCTATCAAACAACTTATAAGACATTTTATAACGAACTTATAAGCTTAGCCAAATACCATCTTAACCTACTCGTTTCTTACGTGAATATATATATATATATATATATATATATATATATATATATATATATATATATATATCATTCTAATCAGGGGCGAGTACACACAAGGGCTAGGGTGGACTATAGACACATATATATATATATATATATATATATATAGATATATATATATATATATTTTTTAGCCTACTCAATTACATTATTTTATCCAGTTACTTTTATTCCACTTAAGTCCACTTATTCAAAGTCGCCTCACTTCTCAAAGTCCCCTTCATGTCTGACTTGTCTACATCTTCTATTTCACTTCGTTCTCGTTCTTTGAAAAAGAAAAAAAAACTTTGTTCTTTTGCATTGTCGCACTAATGGCGGTTAAATGGCTATCCACAGCCGATCGAACGCACACCGGTTAAACTTTGTTCTTTTGACGTCTTTTTTTTCATCTTATATAATTTTTATAATGAATATTAATTAAAATTTCATTGTGTAAATTTCATAATCGACTTGATATTCTTTTTTTTTTTTTTGACAAAATCGACTTGATATTCATGTTTCTTAGATAGCAATTTAACTTTCGCAATTCGCTTTGGTATTATCTTCTGAAAATGAAGGAAAAAAAATTCATATAAAATTTTCATCTTAAATTTCTTTGGTAGCAAATTTTTTTTCGGGGGCTCTGCCCCCGAACCCCCGATATGTTTAAGCCCCCCCTCACAAATGTTTCTGGCCTCGCCACTGATTCTAATACATTTAATACTAAAACAAACTTCCAGAAAACAGAGTAACTTAGAAATGGACAGAGTAACTAATGTTTATTGAATAATATGCCATATCACGATTCAAAAAATCTTAATTGAGATCAAAATGCAACAACGATAACGATTTTTGCACCAACAACTAAGAGAAAAAAAAAAAGGCTACAATTGATCAAGAACTAGCTCATAGATTAAGATCCCAACTGCCAATTTTCCGGTTGGAGTTTGAGTTGAAATCAATTGGTCGTGGTGGCGATGCAGGTGCAGGTGCAGGTGAGGGAGTAGGTGGCGGTCGCTTGTGCTTTGAGTAGTGAAGGCCGACGACGATTTTATTATGAAACGAACGCGGTGGTTCTGGTTCTCCGGCAATGCCGTGATATTTTGAACCAATTAGATCACCATTATTAATCCAATGAATAACACTAACAAGTTTGCACTAGACACATGACTATATATTATGGCCCCGTTTGGTTGCCAAGATAAGTCATGATTAACTAAATAGTTGGACTTAATTTGATGTTTGGTATCCTCAATAACTTGCCGGGTCAACCCGCCAAAATTATATAATCATGGCTTATCTTGGCTTATCTTGCCTTTTAATGAGTTTTTTTTGTTGGACCTTTCAAGCTCCAATAAAATAATTGGGTCTCATTAGATTATTTAATCTTATCTTGGCTAATCTTATCTTGCCAACCAAACGAGGCCTATATGTATTGAATTATTAGAGTCTGTAGATTGTAAATGTAGTAGTGAAATGAAATGAAGACGAGGATTTCTTTTTATAGAAGAATGAGACCATAAATTTGCGTACACGTGTCAATAAAAAATTTCTGCATGTTAAACACATATTCGATTTTCGTACAAGGTTAGGTATGATAACCTCTTTAGTTTTGGTTGGTTTACCGCTGGTAATCCAACTGCCATCAAATTAAAGACAATATTGCCCTTCTTAATTAATGTTTTTTTTTTATGAAAAGAAATGCTATTTTAGGACACTTCTCACTCTCTCTTAATTTTTTTTTTTTTTTTTTTTTACTTATATTCGAAAAGTTATGTAAATTACAATGTAATCTCTACTCCAATTGGGTGATACAAATTAAATAGGAAAACAAGGTACAAGTCTTTTGAGAAGGACTGTAATTAAGGATATTATTTTTCTTAGATGTAGATCCAAAACTTTTATAATATTTAAATTGTAGATACTTGCAATTGAAATTCTTCAGCATATAATTTAAATTTTTATTTTACAATGTAAATAGTAGGATAACATAAAATAGTATTATTAATATATAAGTATAACACTAACTTTTTTTTTTTCAATATTAAAATAGATTACCCTAAATTAAAATGGGCGAACCCGCACGTGTATCTTCCGTTCCGGTTCCCACCGATGCATCCATACGAGATGTGGCCACATTCCATCCGAGTTCGCCCAAGACAACCGGTCCTGCTCTCCGAGTCGCCCGGTCATCCGATCCTTCTAGGTCACCCGCAATTACGAACGGAATCCGTTCCTCCAGGTCACCCAGGTCGTCTGATCCCTCAAGGTCACCCGCCCGCCCGCAAACGGAGCATGTCCCTTCGGGTTGCCCCAATACTACGAGCCGATGGCTGGTTCGATTCGCCCCATACAAGGGACCATTAACAACAACCGTTTCAAGCATCTCTTTATATTCTACTCCCATGTTGGCCCATGGGCTCGTGGCCCAATTTGGGAGTGTGGGTTCAATGATGTACCTAATTAGATCTTAAGTCCAATTAGCCAAATAAATAACCAATTAAGGGAAAACTCCAATTAGCACTCACACCCTCTCCTAAAAAAACTAACACTCACTTGTCCAACATGGGATCTCTACAAAAAGCTCACATTTCTACAATTGTTACTTGTCCCACATTGATTATGTATCACACATTTGATAAGATAAACTATTTTTGGATGATTATTTGAGTCTTTGCAAATTATCACACTGACTTGAACATCGGAGGGTAATCGCCGGGATTTCCAGACGACTCACCCAATGTTTCTATCCGTTTTGCAGAGTCGCTGGTGGAAGCTCACCTTCGACCCCCTTCAAACACTTCGCAAGAGCCTTCGACTTCCCTTATATTGGAATTGAAGACCCCTGGGCTTGAAGACTATTGAGCTTTAAGACCTCTCAATTGACCCATAAACTTTTGAACACCATCAATACTAGGGGTGGTTTCGGTACGGTTGCCGAATATTTTGATCAATACCGTGTACCTACCGAATTATATGGTATTGAAAAATTCGATACCGTTACCGTACCAACAAGTGCGGTATACCGTTATTCGGTATACCGTTACTTTCGGTACGGTATATCGGTATATGGTACTCTACCGTTAATTTTAATTTGTTATACTTTGAAGATGATCTTTATAAAAACACAATACTTTAAACAAGAACATTGGCTACTTATATAATCTTATTCAATTTTTCAAAGCTCCTTCAATATTTATCAAACTTTAACTTCATTGATTTAGTGACACCTTGCAAAATAAGATTACTAGAGTCGTGATCTTTTTTTTCAATCTCAATTTGCAGCTCTATTATTTCAGTGAAAACCAAATGGGATGTACGTTTTTTTGTTGCACTAAGCTTCAATGTTTTCTCATAATTTTTTAAGAACTATATTTTAACTTTTTTAAGTTTCGACCTATTTATTTTATGTAGTAATTTTAGTTTTAGTTAATTATTAACCAATATAAAATAAATATACATTAATTAAATTATAAAATTCAAATTTGTGGTACGGTACGGTATTCTCATGGTACTGAAATACAATACCGCTACCGTACCGTATAATAGTGGTACGGTACTAATACCGTACCAAATGTAATGGTTACCAAAGTTTCGGTAATTTTTCGGTATTGTTTGGTAGGTATACCATGGTGTTCGGTAGGCGGTAATTATTTTCCAGCCCTAATCAATACTACAAATTAGGGTAAATAGCACTTAAACCCAGGTGGTTGCAAGCTTTTGCACACAACCTTAAAGTAAAATGAAATTTCTTTTATCTATTTTTTATTTGGCATTCTTTTTACTAAAATTATCCGTAATACTATGGAATATTCCATAAGTCTTCTAAGTTCCAAATGTGATTCCTTTAGTTATTGACGAAATGTTTAAATAACTTTGGCTATGTTTGGACCGTGTAGGGGTGGAAATCGGATGGATTAGAACGGAAAAAGGCTTTTCAGAAAATTTCCGATTTTTTCTGGAACTGAAATCTCATTTCCGATTCCGATTTCAAAATATTCGGAATCTAAACACGAGTTCCGATTCCAAATTTTCGGAAATTCGGAAATTTCGGATTTTTTTTGAGAAAGAGAAGAAAAAGAAAAAAAAATCGAGAACAAAATAAGAACGAAAAAATTCCAGCATCAAATGACAATCAAGAATTTCTATTATCTTCACATTACCAGAGCAAATTTTCATATATCACATGAATAATCCCTAAAATTACAAAATATGTTGAAATTACAAAAGAAAAAAGTAGAAGTTTTCTGTAGGTGGCTAATTTATCAAAACATAACGTCAATGGACAGAGCTTGAGCACAGGGCGCCAATGTGGAGAAGGAAGAAGAAAAAAAAGTTGGGTTTGAAAGCAAAGAGAAACTGCAAGAAGCAGCGACGGAAGGAAATTGAAAAAGGTTGGTAGTTGTAAGTTTATTAATTGGGCCTATTGCATGGGTGAGAATTGTATTTTTAGAAGCAACTAGCATTTTTTCCTCGTGCGAAGCACGGGATATTATTTCAAAAAATGAAAAAAAAAAATCAATTTAATACATAATAAGAAATATAGTACATTAACATAGTAAAATTTAATTATGTAGTATTACTCATATTTTATATAGCATTAGTTTTTTTAAATCTTACGTATTAAGATTTATAATCCAAATATATAGGTTTAGATTTAACAAATCGAATTTCTATATTTATATAAGATTTGAGAGATATTGATGAAA